GGAGTGTCCTAGGGCAGAAATTTTACTGGACCACTTCCTAAGGCTACCCCGAATACACATACCCGGATATATACTAGTGATAGGGTAGGCAAGTGCCAATATTTATATAATAGATTACGCACTTATCTATCCTAAATGTTACCTATTAAGAATATGTCCGTGGTTGGAGATGCATTATATACTATTATGGCTGACGCGCATTTGTCTACTCTAGATGTCATATATACCTGAGCACATACTAGTGATAGGGTAGCTTTCTGCCAATATTTTATATAATGATTTCGCAGAAGGCTACCCTAAATATCACCTATTAGGAATATATTTATTCGCGATTCTCTTACCATCCTGCTATATGTATCTTTTTGCGTCTATCAAAAAAAAAATAAATTAAACATTTCCAAATTTTATAAAGTAATATAAATATTTTCAAACTAACATCATGCATACACAAACTAATTTCGTCTAAACTGATCGCTCTGAAACTCTCGCCCGCTACAACGGCGCCAAATTTTTAGCTAGCATTCTATCACGTAATGAGATCATAGCAAAATATGATAACAGGATGACTGCTATACTTCAACAAAGACTATCTGACAAGCAACCCATACATTTCATGCCTACTGAAGTTAGTGATGATACCAAATATATAAATGGGGTCTCTACTTATATTTTGCGTATTAGTAGTTGCTTGATTAATGGGCAAAAAGAAGTCGTAAATATTACAGGCATCTGACCCTTCTTTGATGTCAAAGTTCCTGAAGATATATCACTATCTATGTTTAAAACCAGATTAATAAATATATTATCCAATACTCTCAAAGGTACATCAAAATTTGGGATCAAGAATATTAGTGCTTTTTCACTTCGAGGATATCATACAGAGAAAAAATCATATATACGTATTATTACTTGGAATCAATTTGACCGGTATAATGCATTAAAAGGCAGTTCGTGAAGTCAGTATCTGTATAGCTTCTGATGATCTAACCCCAATATATTATTACCGCAAAGTAGCCTGTGAAAAAAGATTACCTCTTTCAAGTTGGGTAACGTTAAGTAATTATTTTCACGAATATATTCAAGTGGGTACTTATCACTTTCAAGTTTTTGTGAATAATTACAATCCAATAAGTGAGGACGATTATAATAATTCATCATTCTCCTTGGCCCTTTCACAGGATCGTACCCTTGTTCTTATGTGGGATATTGAAACATATAGTTCACGAAGAATGGGTAGAGCACCTAATGCAAATTTTGAAGAAGATGTTGTGTTCATGATTTGCATGACGGTTCACTGGAAAGATGATCCTGAACCGTTAAAACAAATTTGTCTTATTGATGTCAAAATAGCATCAGATCTACAACTGATTACAGTTATATGTGGATCTCAGACTAATTTACTAAAAGCATTCGCCTTGTGTTGAAAACTTTTAGCCCCGGATATACATATAGGCTTTAATGATTCTCAATACGACTGGAGATTTATTGTGGAGAAAGCTAATAAATTAGGGGTGATCGAATGGATGTTCAATCATATGTCATTCAAACCGAAGCTGGCTCGTCTAGAAAAAATTACAAAATGGCAATATCAGTATAATATGATAAAAGTAAACGATGGGAACTTCTATTCGAAACATCTTAAAATCACAGAATGTGTAGCTATTGACATCCAACCCTATTTTATGGGATTATATTCTAAATCTGAAAAAAGTAGTTTCGCATATTACTTAAGGGAGTGTAATCTTGACAACAAAGTGGATTTACCTATATACTGTATGAACAAATATTATGAAATGGCATTAAAAGAAACAAATGTCATAACAGCTGAGCAGATGCGTGAAGTGGTCAAATACTGTATTATTGATGCTCTTAGTTGTCAGCGATTAATGGTCAAGCGTAATGTAATTAATGAATATAGAGAGGTAGTGTCTATATCTTTCTTATCATTATATGATGCATATTATTTCACAGGAGAAATGAAAGTATGTAATCTTTTGGGTGCTAGTGCATGGCAAAGGGGTTTTTTAACTAGCACTATATCATGCGAACAAACAGAATCTGGGAGCTTCCTAGGAGCATATGTCTTCTTACCAATAAAGGGGTTCGAAAATAAACGTCCTGTAACTGGCTTAGACTTTGCATATTTGTATCTAAGCCTTATCATGATATACAACCTCTCGCCTGATAAAATCATTTTATCTCGAGAGCATGCTGAACAAAGTGGTAAAAAACTCCACGAAATTAGTTTTAAATTCAATAATCAGGATTGTCTCGCATGGTCTATCCAACATAATAACATCCCTAAAGAAAAAGGTCTTTATGCCATTGCGTTAGAATATTTATCTAGTAAACGGAATGAGATGAAAAAATGTCTCGCTCCTTTGAAAGAGAAAAAGGAAAACATGGATCTGGTAATTGGTTTAATAGATAAAGGTTTATCATTACCAAGAGCTATTGAGCAAATCTTAGCAAATACAAAGGAAAAAAAGCGTGCCAGCCTTAGCGAAAGTTTACATCATTTTATTAATAAGGAAAAACATGAATATATAGCAGAATATGATTCTATTTGTTTCGACTGCTCTTGCTTAGATGTGAAACAATATGCTCTTAAGGTGTATATGAATACATTTTATGGCACTGCTGGAGATAGTAAATCCCCCTTCTTCTTACGAGCACTGGCTGGAGGCGTCACATCAGCTGGACAGAAAAATATCAAACTTGTCACAGACTTCGTTAAAAGTAGGGATTTTCAGATAAAATATGGTGATACTGATTCATTGTATCTAGTTCCTCCAGAAAGGTGCTTTCAAGAATGTGATAAGGCATATGACAGCGGTAATGGAATCTTAAAAGAAGAATATTGGTCTAGAATACTGAACATCTCTATGGGCGTAATAGAGAAACTTCGCAACGAAGTTAATGACTTTCTTAGAAAAGATAATGGATCATCGTATCTTAAAATGGCATATAAGGAAGTCTTATTTCCGGTAGTATTTACTGGAAAGAAAAATACTACGGTATTCCACATGAAAGCAAGCTGAACTTTAACAAAGAGCTTTTCATTCGGGGAGTTGAGATTGTAAAGCGGGGCAGTCTAAATACTTTCGTGAGGTGAGTAAGAAAGTTATGGAAGAATCTATAAGGCTGGATAATACACGCACCTTGCATCAGATTGTGGAAGACGTGCTCAAAGAGACCATAAATGATATTTCATGGATAGATCTTAATGGAGTTGATAGTTATTGCTGTTAAAGTTGGCGGTAACCCGTTAGCTAAAATTTCAGACTGTAGATCTGATATTAACGAATATTAACAGGTTTTAACGAATGTTACAAGTCTGAACACTACCTCTGATGAGAATTTTTTTGTCTAATACTGGAGAAAATGGAGGCTAAGAAAAGGGAAAGTATTTTTTTTTTTACTTTATTGAAATGACAATTTTTTTTTTCTATACGTACGATGATGAAATGTTTGCGATAAAGTCACGTGCCTGTCACGTGGGTGCATTTAGAGAGATGATCACATATATAGTCTGAACTAAAAATCGTTGCACAGTGCAAAAAGGGAGGGAGTGCATTTAGCATTAAGTCCCGAGTTTGGGACTGGGCTATAGGGTGCATTTATATAGGGTGTGCACTTATAGAGGATGCATTTATAGAGAGTTGACTGTAAATATATCTATTGTGTAATCAAGTAAAATTATTTGCTGAACAGAGGTATACTACGAGAATAATTGAAGTTTTTCTGCGTAAAATTTTTATTATAATTATTTTTTTCACGCACTGTATATGTTATAATCTATAATTATTAAAATTTTATTTAGGATCTAAAAATATGAAAGCTTCAGCTCCAGTTGAGCATTTTACCAGTGATGATCATATTTGAGTAAATAATTTTGAAACTTATAAAAACACAAATAAAAAGAGTTACAAGCAATGCTATTAATAAAGTATATAAATATACTTGTGGTTTAATGAAAATTGTTTTTTGATTAGCTAAAAATGATATATTATTAAATAAATTTTTAAGTGCTGCTCAACTTAGCTGAGCTTAGAGTCTCCAAAAATTATTTCAAATACCAATCTGATTACATATAAAAATCCTATATCTAGCTGAAATTTTTTATCTGTTATAACTTTATTAATTGAAGAAAAAATTTGGCAAGAATTGCAAAATTCTACTTCTATTAGAATTATAATAGATAAAAGCACTAATATAACGTATGAGTCACATATAATTATATATATTAAATATTGTATTCAAGGAGTAATAAAAATTAAATATCTAAAGCTTATTCAGTTAAAAAGTAAAGATGCAGATTTAATCTTTAATGCTATAATTTCACTTTTAGATAATATTGATTAGTAAAAATAATATAATATTTTTGTCTTGTATTTAATAAAATTAATTAAAATATTTTTAAAACAAATAGAAATAATATCAAAAATTGCATCATTTATTTCTGATAGTATAAGTGTAATGCTTAGAAAGAGAAATAGTATTGTGACAAAAATTGCAGAAAGAATTTTATATTTGTTTATTACTTATTATATTACCTATAGATTAGCGTTAGTATATAATTCAGCAAAAAAGCATGTTCTTTTTTGTAAACATGTTAAAAATATTATGAAATTAGTTTATTCTTTTTTTAGTTACTTAAGTAAAAGACAAGAAACACTATGACAGTATCAAAATATTTTAAATCATTCTATTTTAAAAATCTGAAAAATTCATAAAATAAGATAGTTATCATAATACGAAGCAGTGAAAAATTTATGTTTAATAATTGAACCTTTAATGGATATATTATTAGAATTATCTATTATTACTTCAAATCAAAATTAAAAAGAGAGTATTATTCAATTATATACTCAATTATGTGATTGAAAATTTTTGGCAATTCTTTTTTTTTATATGATATTTTAGGTTATCTTAGTAATTTAAGCAAAATATTTCAGCAATATTATATTCAAATTTCAGATATTGATCTAGTTATTAAAATGACAATTAATAAAATAAGAATATATTTAGATTATAATGAAGATGAAGAATTATTATTTAGAGAAAATTTAAATAAATTTTTAGCAAAAGTACCATTAGGATCAAATATTAATATTGGTGCTCATGAGTTAATATGGATGGAAAATTATGAATCAGATTTGATTATTTTTATTTCATTATTTTCTTTAACAGTAATTTTAGAAATACAAGAAAGATTTTCAGATTGATCTTTATTAAATGCAATGAAAGTCTTTAATCATTTGATTTGGCTGGATAATAAAGAATTATTAGTCAATTATGAAGAGGATGAATTAAATATTTTGATAGAACATTATATGGCTATTATTGATGATAATATTTTTAAAGAATGGAATAATTACAAAGCAATAATTTACGCTAATTATAAAATAACAAAATTGAAATTATTGCTTTTAAAATTATTTGAAAATTATTCTGAAAATTTTCCAATTATATTGAATTTACTAAGTATTATTTATTCGATTCCTTTCTCAAATATAGAATGTGAAAGAAGTTTTTTGAAACAAAATTTAATTAAAACAGATTTAAGAAATAATTTAAATAATAAAACTTTAATTTGTTAATGATGATAGGATTAGATAATGTAGATTTATTAGAATTTGATTTTAGTTGTATGTTAGAAATTTGGAATTTATAATATAAATGAAGAATTTAACATTTTAAATTTTAAAAAAATTAAAAAGAATTACAAAATTTTATTATTTTCATTTGTTTTTTTTTATTTTTTATTATTATTTTATTTTTTAAATGATCTGATAAATTTTTTAAAAAATGGATATTTTTCTGTTTATTTTTAAAAAATTTCAGTAAATTTTAATGTAACCAGATATTTATCCAAAAATTTTGCTAGTCTATTTTATATCTTAACTAGGTTTATGATATTTATCTCTTGATAGATAGTCTGATGTAAAAAAGCAATATACATGATAAATACTATATTTATTCTTAAAAAATAACTCTTACAGAATACCTCTTATATGAATAGTCTATTATTGTAGTGATTTATGAAGTTTAATAACAGATAAATCATCATATTATTTTTATATTTTATTCATTTTTATAATCTGATTATAGCTGTAAGAATCGTATTTTACTTGATAATTAATTACATAGTTCAAATTATACATAGGATAAAGATTGATAGGTTTAAGTACAGATTTATTAAAACCTTATCTACATTTTTTCTAGACATATTTACTAGTAATTTAATGATTTATAATAATTTATAGCAGTTTATATTAAGTATATATAGTAAAATAGCAGATTTATTTTTATGTTAGAACTAATATTTTACAGAATCTGATTTCAGGTTAGATTTGCTAACTAAATTTAGCATAAATTTATTTTTAATGTTCAAATTCCAAATTTGCTGATCACAGATACCATAAATCATAAGATGATTAGCCATAAATTATATTTAAAGACCTCTGTCTAAGTATTGTTTATTCTGTCCTTGGTGTTTACATCAGGAATTACAAGTTAAAAAATTTTAGCATATTTGATTTATATATCACAAACAAGTTAAAAAATATTAATCTGAAATATAGCAGACTATTAAATGCTTTTTAGTTCATGTTGTAGCATTGATATCTTTGATTATATAATACGTTTGGTTATGCATGTATAAAATATTTTATTATATATTAAAAAAAAACATATATTAAAAAAAATTATTTTCTTAAAAATGTATCTTCTGTCCTTGATTTTGTAATGTGAAAAATGTTTTAGGTAAAGAGGTGTAGAGCATCTGAGCTGATTCAGCTTTTCCACAATATCATCATCATCATTATCAAACAATTTATTTTAATTTGTTATCATTAATAATAAGATTATAGAAGACTGACCCTGCATTTCCCTGAAATCAAAACCTAACCTAAGTTAAGAAAATCAACTTTTGAATAAGAAAATAAAAAGGGTGAGGCTACTACTGCACTAAAAATTTGACCAATGGAATCCTATTCATACCATCAAGAAAATAGGAGGAGAGCTAAAAGAATGAATAGAGAGATTAGATAAAAGATTATAACCTGAAGTAATAAAATTGGTAGCTTTAGAATCAAAAGTAATGTTAAGAAATTTTTTAAAATCATGAACAAGTTGATAGCGATTACGCTAAACATTTTGAGTGAATTCAAAGATTAGATACATAAAAGAAGAGTAAGTAGCTAAAGCTAACGGTTGGAATGAAAATTTTTTGAAAAAGAAATTAAAAGAGGTGCTAGGACAATTCCTCAGATAAGAGTAAAAAACTCTGCAGTATTATAAGTATCGAGCAGCCAATAATTCAACTGATTAATTTTATAGTCATGTACATTGGTAATATCTTTTAGATAGGATTTAGAGTGTAAAATAATCTTTATTTCATAGTTGATAGTGGGATACATCTAAATGTGATAAAAGTTTTCATCAGCGGCATCGTATCGTAAACATAAAAGTGAGAGGTTATAAAAAGATAGATGTCATAATTTGAGAATTTCTAAGTTAGCAATATCTCAAAAAGATGTTGATATTTTATTCTTCAGACAAAGGAAGCAATATATGATATATAATGTGATGCTATATTGTCGTTGAGTATAAAAGAGGTGGCGAACCAATTGTTTTGATATATCTGTGAGTCTTTTGATAAGATAAAAATTTGAAGCAGATTGGAGATAAAGTATTCTCAGAAAAGTTCTTTGCAAAATTGTCTTATAGATATAATAATTGAAGCGTTATTATAGTGAAATAGCATCGAGAAGCATTAATTGTATGAAGTTGAAGAGTTATAGTATTTAAACAGAACTTTATTAAAGTATTGACTTTGTTATTGAAAATATTATCAGTGTGAGATTTGACTTTAATCATATTAACAGTGAGGTTGTAAGTATTCATTAATTCAAAAAGATAAGACTAATGCATGTAATTATTAATTTTGAGAGCAAGTCGAACAGTAAAAGCTTTTGATTGTAACAGTTGAATTGGAAAATAACTATGGCTGAGTCAGTGAAAATGGTGACATTACAAAATGAAAGAGTCATAAGTAAATGACAGCAAATTCAGGTATAGAGGAGGAAGAGAAAAAAGATACAAAAGCAGAGAAGAAGAAAACTATTAGTCAATTTTGATGAGTTTGAAGTCAGACAAGACCCATTCTTATCAAAGGGAGACCATATCTTTTAAAGACCTATCTGTGTAAAATTCCAAAACAGAAGAGGATGCGAAAGAGCAAGAAAGAGTTAGTAATTAGAAATTATAAGGAGGTAATAAGTATTTGACAAAAAAATTAACAAAAGTAGGAGAAGAAAAATTTCTGGATGTTGCAAAAAAACTTTGATTGTTATTTTTCAAGAAACAAGTCAAGACAAGCTCATAAAGGATACTATAAGATAGAATGCTGTATGTTCAATCACAACAATCATTTTTAAATGTGATTGGAATTTTTACAATAAGGTAAAGTAGTAGCGTGAAAAAACAATTATCATAATGGCCTTTAATTTTAATAGCAAAATTCTGGTGGAGTTGACAACACCCATAAAGATCTAGGACTGTGATATTATCAGGTTTAATTAAAGGTATGTAATGCATGAAGTGAACTGTATCTTGATCAATTCTTGTGATTCTTTCTAGGATAAAAGAGTTGAATGGGAAATACTACCCAATCATAATATCAGTAGTCTAATGGAAAGAAGTAGGTCATTTGATAGAGTAATAATAATAGTATTTGTGTCTATAGGTGTTAATAAGTAATAATTTTCTGTCTTGATTAGAACTAAGATGAAATTCTAAAGTTGAATACCAGCTGGGAGTTCGAAAACTTTGTAAAATCAGATGAGTAATAGTATAGAGATTACAAAAGGTAAACATATAATTTTTTGATAACTGATTAATTGTTTCATAAAGAGCATTGAGAATTTTCTTAGACTAAGAGTATGCTTCCTATAAATATTTGGAATAAATGCTGAAACCAGTGAATCCTCTCCTGTGATTTTGTTGAATAGAGCTAGTAGTATATTGAATTTGAGGTTCATTTGATTGAGAGCACAGAGAAGGGCTGGAAGCCAATCATCTGATTTTGATATTTTAGAAAAGGACCAATAAAAAAGAGGATTTTTGAAGAGTTACTCTTTTCTGTGTTATTATAAAGAACATTTTGTTTGATATTATCAAAGATATGAATAGGGTCAAAGGTAGATTTGAAAGAAAGATCAGCAAAGTTATATTCTTTTAGAATATCGTGTTAGACAAAAATGTCAGTAAGTCTTAAATTAAGTAGTCAAACAAATGCTTTCTGTATGCATTCTAATAAGTAATTAGATGTGTATTATTTAGATTATATTCCTATAGTTTCAGTTTTGAGATTGGATAAACATATGCCAAATTCCAGCAGTTTGATATTGAGGAAATTTGTAAGCAGCTGCAGATAATATGCCATAAATATTTCTTCGCAAGCAGTCCTAAATGTTTTAACATTTCATTCAAAATTTTAGATGGTCCTGGGACTTTATCATTTAGAAGTCAATCAATAATTCTATATCATTTATCTGCAGAAGGTAAAGACATTAAATTGTTGTAAATTTGTGAATTAATCGAGTTTACTGGAGTATATGTAGAAATTCAATCCTCTAGGATCTCTTTAGTATAATGCGTAGAGCCTGCAACTTGTTGAAAATGTCTGGTAACTTTTTTTTACAGCAGGTTCTTCAAAAAGTAGATCTCAGGATAGAGATGAATTATCAATGTATCTGTTTAATATGATGGTAGTTTTTCTTTGATTAAGGATTGAATCAATCATTTGAGATAGATTATGTTTAAAGTCATCAACACAGGTGTTAAGGGCTTCCTAAATACTTTTGAATTTAGAATCATATTTGCGCAGTTCTGCTTTTGTTTTAAAGTCAGCAAGTAGAAGTTTAATATCTGAAAAAATAGAATGTATCAAAACATAATGCGGAGGACAATCGAGAGGAACAGTATTTAGGCCATTAGAGTAAGCGAGCTGTAAAAATTGCAAATATAAGTTGATCTATTTGGTATGAATAGTGGGGTCTTTGAGACACTTTTTTGATGTTTTTGCAAAACGATAGAGTAATTTTATATCATTGTAGATCTTTGAAAGAGTGATAGGTTTCTTTGAAGAGTGATAATTCTTTGTTTTATGTATTAAATACATTTTTTTGCCACTGAAATGAGGGAGTCTTGAAAGAGATCAAGGATGAATTTAGAAGACTTTGTGACCAGTTTGTGTTATGTGAGATATGATTCAGCGAGTTGAAATTCAACTTATTATCAAATTTGTCTCTAAATTTGGACCATTTAGAATTGTTCATTAAGTTATAGTTGAAGGAAGATTTGACTGGACTTTTTCTTGTAGATACAGACTGTTTTAAGGAATTGAGTATTTTAGTTAAAACAATATAGTGATCAGAGATAGAAAAGTCTATTTGAATAGTTTTGCAGTCAAGAATATTAAGCGCTAATTCAGGTGTCATAAAAATGTAGTCAATTCTAGATGAAGTTGTTTTGTTATAAAGAATGAATATAACGTTCTGTCTTTTTTAAATTATACATTAAAAGCATTATACAAATCGTAATGATTGAGAAAATTAATAAAATTCAAATTGAAAGGGAAGTTGTTAGAACGATCTGTGTCTGTATTTAAATCTCTAATGAGAATGATATGAAGCTCATTTTTGATAGCATTATCTAATAAATATTTTAAAAAGCCAATTGATTGTTTTGTAACGTTAGTTGAAGGATTGGCAGGTGGGAGATAACAATTAATAACTAGTAGTTTTTGTTTGTTCGCAATTTGAAGTTTTGCGTAAATAATTCTATCAAATTTAGAATCATAGGCAAAAATGTGTTTAGCAATACAAGGGCTAAAGAAAAGACTGACACCAATTCCAGTGGAATGGGAGTTTTGGTTATTGCTAAAAAAGTGGTATAATTAGAAAGTCACAATTGAAAATGGAAGTAATTCCTTTGAAATTAGTTTTCTATAAACCTATGATATCAAATTAATTAGTTGAATATAAGGAAAAAAGGTAATTTTGTTTTGCAGGATCATTGAAAAAACAGATATTGTATGTTGCAATTTTAAGATTAGAGAGGGGAGGAGTGTAAGAACTAGAAGTACTTATATTATTCATTGTAGGGACAGTAATTATGATAGTAATAGTAATTATTGTTATAAACTGCTGATGTAGCATTCTATTACTTTGTCAAAGTCTTCAGTTAATGGTTTAAAAATTTGTGTGTCATATTTGTTAAGAATATTTTTGTTTAAAAGAGTGGTTTGAAGGTCGTAACAGGACTTAAGTAACTTATTGAGTATAGGAGTGAATTTCAATATATGTTATTGTTATTTCTGACAAATAAGAACTAATTGTTCATTTGTTTGTTTTTGTAAATGGACATTGCAAAGATCAGTGTTAATATGTGGGATTTTTATTCTACTTCAGTGGCAGATTCTGATAAGTTATTGTTAAATTTCTCTGCTTCAGCAGGAGTGACGACTTTAATGTGAAGGGCTTTTTCAATAACGGCTAAATATTGCTGTGAAAACTTAAATTCAACATAAAGATCAGTGAGCATATTTGAAATAGAAGTGAATTGGGATGTGACGAATCGTTTAAAGTTTAGATCATGGATTAAACTATCTTTCACAATACTATTGTTTAATTTTGAAGTAAGAAGAACTTCAGTCATGTAAGCAAAAAAATATTATCACGAACGGCGCCTCTTACAGGACTACGTTTTGGTGCAGTATAATTGTTGAATTAAATAAGTTGAAATCTCTGATACAGATTTTGCATGCTACGGTCTTTGGGAGTCTGACGACGCTTGAGATAAAAAGATGTGTTATAATGTGCTGATAAGCAAATAGCGCAAATTTTAACTTTTGGGTCAGTTTACTCAAGTTTTTTGTTATTCAAAGTTAAATTCTTGATACCTATAGCAACCTGAGTATCTTCTTTGTTAAGAAAATAAAAAAATGCATATTATAAATAATTGTAATTAGATCGAGTTTTAAAAATGATTTAGGCAGTAGCAGAGACTATGTTGCCGATATCTTGAAGATTACGTGATGTAATGTTATGGGGAAGATTAGTAAGCTTAGCTGAAAATGCAAAGCGAGCTTAAATATTAATTCTGAAAAGACTGCAAGGATAGTAACAGATCATATCATTTAAAAGGTAAATGCCATCTCCTTTTTTTATTTCTTCAAAGTTGGCTTTCTCATCGAAGGTAATCGTAGTTCTTTGCTAGAGATTTTTAGTTTCTATAGTGAAGTGAACGATATTTCCAAATCTAGAAAATAGTTTGCATAACTTAGTTTCTGTAATATCTAAGGGAATTTCTGTAATTATGATCGACTAATCAGGTATGTAGGAGGTAGATTTTTTTATATCTAATAGTTAGAACGTAATGTTATCCATATTGTGAAATTTGAATTTGCAGAAAGTATCACATTTAGATTTGTTTACAAAGGCAACTTTGATAATTGTTTGATTCTGATTGACAGGGTATTTTCCTCTTGTGATATTGATAAATGAATTGTATTAATCATAGCACAGATCAATAATCTTTGAGATTTTCATTTGGGGTTCAGTTCAGAGAATTTTTCAGTTGGAATATATGCAAAAAATTTAATAATCTGAGTTGAAGGAGTTTCAAAGTCAAAGGTCAAAGTGTCTAAAATGTTTTCTGACGTGTCAAAGGACTTGTTAACACTCATAGTTAGTTTTAGCGCAATTATTTCTGATGTTGAAGTAATAATTTCAGGACTTTTCCTTTTGTCAAGATTATTAACTGGATCAACTTTTATTGTGCTGGTGTCTTTTGAAAGGACAAATGTAATAGATATATTTGAATGTTCTATAGTGAGATTATTATCTAAAATTTGGATTGTATTTTGTTTTTTTGTTAGTTGTTTGTCAGTAACTAGTGATGCAAAGTGACTGCAGTTGGCATTCTTTCTTTCATTTTTTCTTGACATTTTTGGTGGATTGTTAGATCGACAAAAAAAGTTTTACATACACTATGTGTAAACTTTGAAATTTTCAAAAATTTAATATATAAAAATTATTATATTAGATAGAAAAACATAAAAACAAAAATAGTAAATTATGTGATGATCTATAACTGCTAAAATAATGAAATTAAAAATTTTATAAAAAGAATGAAAATTTTTTATTTTATTATAAATGAATTTTTTAATAATTAAATTTTTACTCTTTTTTTTTTTTTTTTTATTCAGAAATAGGCTTATCAAAATTAATTTTATTATTCTAATCAATTTAAAATTTAAAGTTTTACCAATTTTTTAGTTAATTTATATTATACTAAAAATTTTATTTTTTTTTTAAAAAGTATAAAATTAATCAAAATTGCTATTTTAATAAAATTTATAATAAAATATTATATACAAAAATAAAATTATTTATTATAATAAATTCTTATAAAGCTGTTTTTTTATTTACAAATAAATAACTTGGAATTTTTTTTTTGAAAATCGAAAAAATTTCAGTTATATTTTTATATACATAAATCATTTAGTAAATTATTAGCATTATAATTATTTACATTTCTTTACTGTCGAAAAAAAAAGGTCGATTCAAAATACTCGTAAAAATTCAGGATTTTTTTTTAGCGCCTTTAAAGGTTTAAATTTTAACAAAATGCAAAACAATTCATATTTTGAAGGAACTTTTTTTTAAAAATAAAAAATTTTATTTTTAAGTTTAATTTTTTTAAAATCTTATCATAAAAAAAAAAAAAATTAAATAAATAATTTTTTTTTTTCGATTGAAAAATTTTCCTTCTTTTTTGACTAACTAATTATTGAAAAAGAAACAAATATTGAAGAACGAAAGGTTTTCGTTAGTGTAAAAGAGAATTAAAAATTTTCAATGCATTATCTTTTTTTTGGGACTTTAAAAAGCCTAACGTGAATTTTTGTTGAACAAAGAACAAGGAGCAAATGAATAATTCACATAGACGATGTTTGTAGTGAGAACATAAAAAAAAGAATGTAGTTGCAACGACGCTTCAAAGGGCTACGGTTTCGTCTTACAACGTAAGTAAACATCACATCATTTCTCACTAAACTAATTTATGAAAACTAAAAAAAAAAAAGGACACTGCTCCAAAATAATTTTGATAAAATAAAAAAAAGGTGGTGGGTCTCGAACCTTTTAATAATATAATAATAAAAGATCTTTACTACTATCAACTCTTCTCTTTCCTTTTTAATTGATGTTAACCCCCACCACCAGGGACCAAAAATTTCTCATTTCCAATTATCATAAACGATAAGATTAAAAGGAAAAAAAATAACTGAAAATTACTTTTATGTAAGACAAACCCACCATAAGAATTAGTCCCCAGTCTAATTGTAAGATAAAAGAAAGGAAATGCAAAAAAGTACCATGCCATAAGCTTTCTCCGACTCAAAACAAATACAAGAATCGAGAAAAGCCAACATGTAAAAAAATTTTTTAAGGAGAGAAATAACACAAGAAAAAAAAGAGGAGGTAAAATAGGGGTATTCATACAAAATGTACAAACGAAAGAGAGTTGAAAAGGGAAAGGGGGAAGGGGAAAAATATATTAAAAAAATCCAAAAAATAAATTCTTTTTTGAAAAAATTCTAAAATATGATTAAATAAAAAAAGGAATAAAAAAAGAGGTGAACCACAAAAACATATTTACAAATAAAATCTTTTCCAATTTAACAATAACCAAAAAAAAATGAAACGAGAATTAAAAAAATTGAGCTCTATTAACACGAAATTTCTCAACACAATAATGCACTCTCTAATTAACCCATGAATAAATTGTCCAAAAAATCGAATAAATAGGGGAGAAACCAAAAATTATTAATAATTGTGGAGATGGATTACGGATGTTAATGACGTGATGGCAAAAAAAAAATTTTTATCAAGGGCAAATTAGTGGGCGCACTTGCATTGATCATTTCGCAAAAGGACCCATCGTCCATGACAAAAAGGAAAAGATCCAAACGTATTAGGAAAAGATCTGAAGAAATATGTCTATGCAATAAAAAAAAAGAAAAAAGAAAGGGGGAAGTAATATGGTGGGTAAATTATTAGGGTGGTAGTAATAAAATCAAAAAAAAAAGATGAAAAAATATTATAACAAAGAAAGAAAATAAACTTGCAACAAAAAATGTACAGGTGCAGAAAAAAAGGGGGGGAAATGCAAAAAAAAAAAAAAAAAATGAAAAAATATAATAACAGAAGGAAGTGCCACACGTCTAGAAAAAAATTATATATATATATAATATGAAATGAAACTCTTTTTTTTTTTTTGATTATATCGCCGCATCGATAATATTATACAAGGTGAAACAGAGTGGTCGATACATGTTTTCCCTGCAATCACGAATAGTAATATTATAAATATCTAGACAAATTAATCTACACAAGAGACACCTCTTCTCGTTCTCATTTATTTCTCTACGCACAATTATTGCCCATGAATTTTCAACATATTTCTCAAAGTTTCAGAAATTTCATTCAAATTCAAACCGTTATTCGCGGGATAAACTTTCATTGGATGATGGGCAGTAGCCATACGTTCAGGAACCATGTAGGCTGCCGCGGTTTGATGTTGACGGGCATTGGCAGCTGCCAAAATACGTAAAAGTTCTTGTGATTTTTGTTTTCTCAAAGTGGGAGTTTCTGGATAATAAGGTGCACTCGATGGTTCAAAGTCGTCCATGGCAAAGATGTCGTCGTCAGAAGCATTACCCGAAGATGGTGAGGAGTGTGAGGAGTTTGAATCATTGTAAACTTTTGGAGGGGATGGCATATTTTCGGGAACGGTAAACAAGTTGTTGCCACCAACTGACAAAGGACTTGGGTCCTTACCCAAAGATTTACTGTAAAACGAAGGCATTGGTAAATCACTTGGGGCGGGTGAATTATGAAAGGTGGGGCCGGCGTAAAGTTTATGAGCGCCACCAAGTCTACCCGGGGAACTTGAAAGTCTACGGGCAGTTGGAGGGGTTGACGACAAGATCGATTCGGAGGGTGGAGTGACTGAATCAGAGTCAGAGAAGCGAGAAACTTGACTTTGTAATTCGATGGCAGTGCTGGAAAGTCGACGGCGTGGAGCAGAATCAACATGATTATCCGAGAGTCTCTTGTATTCTTTATCTACGGGTCTATCCGAAGGACTGTAAAAACGAAAAAGAGTGACGAAAAAAAATAAATTAACGTGCAATCGATTGAAGGGCACTAAAAAAAAAGAAAATATGATGAGGGGAGCATACCTCTTGATAGTAACGTTATCATCGGAATTCGAGAAAACGTTCTCTCTCTTATTACTATTCATCCCTTCCTCAAGGGCAATAATAGCGTTAGAATAATTAAGAGGGGGGAAGAGGAAGGCGGCGTTGCTTGCTTGTGAAGGAGACCCAGACAAACTATTATTATTATTAAAAGTTGATGACACTGACTTCACATATTTACTACTATTTACATCAGATTCATCGCCAGAACCTGAAAATTGTTTGATGGTAATTGGTTGAGGTGGGCTAGCACTTTGCAAAAAATCAGTTTCGATATATTCCAAGACTTCGGTCATTGATTTTATTTCCTTACGACGTTGAGCACGTTTAGCCTTGGAAGGCGTTACATCGGAACGACGACGTTGTTGTTGTTGTTGTTGGGACGACTTCTCAACGACTTTGCCATAGCGTTGCTCTTGAGTTGCATCGAGAGAAATAGACGCTTTCGAAGGTTTTACAAAGTCTGTAGCGGATTGAGGTCTCTTGAGGATCGAAACACTAGGTGTAACTCTAAATTTATCTTCGTCGACCGAGTCGCTGTACTGATGTCTTCTAAAGGGTCTACTTGAAGTGCTTGATTTTCTTTGTAATTGACCGACAGAACCATTCTCAACCAACCCATCAACATTTTTTGGTTCTCTATGATACGAATCAAAGTTATCGACGCGATTATTGCTGTAGTTTGAAAAATTTTTGTTGTTGGAATGACGAGGGAAGGAGTTAATATCGGTGGCGGGGGAGGTGGTCGCGGTAGAGGATGATGACACGGAGGATGTCTCTTTTGGTTGTTGTTGATGATTATACGAAAAACCGCGTTTCCCCCTGTTTAATGACTTTGACCGGTTATGAGATTGATGTCTTGCTTCCGGATGTTTTAATTGTTGAAGATGGTGGTGTTCGAGCCTGCTCTGCACCACTGGAGCAGAGAAATGTGCTTTATTTGCTGTGTTATTTACTGTATTACTTATATGATTAGTCATTGTCCTTTTATTTTTTTTTTTTTTATAAATTTTTAAAATACTGTCTTTTAATTGAGGTAACCAATGCCAAAAGAATTTTTTAAATGAATAATGCTATGTGAAAGTAGTGGGTTAATAATTATAAGCGAGTTGTGAGCTATACGGTCGAGTTTGGAGAGCGAAAGAGGGCGGTGTTTGAGGAAAGGCGGGGAAAAAAAAAAATCATTTTCTAGTTAGTATATTTATATCAAAAAAAAAAAAAAAAGTACAATAAGGAAACATTCGATACCAAAATAAAAAAGAGGTTTAACCGTACAAGTTCAAGTGGGAAGTTTCGGGAGACACTCTGGCGCTGTACTGAATATTATTACTATTATTGTATTGATGATACTGTAAGGTATAATTTGATACTATAAAACAAAAATAGGTGGTTTTAATTTATCAGTCAGAGAATTGTATTGATAGATTCCTTTCTTTATAAAACAAAATCGAGTGAATAAGAAAAGTACAAGAACATATATATTAACATATATATACATTTAATCTCTCCAGCGTGGTAGTTGAATTTGTTGGTCGAGTAAAGGTTATATATTATTTTTTTTCTTCTTTTTTGTTTTTTTTTTTTTTTTTTTTTGTTATTTGTTTTTGTTTGAAAGAGGTTGTCAGGTTGATGATCCGACGCTCGAGTCGAAAAATTACTACGCGAAGAAGTAGGAAAGAAATTTTTTTTTTAATAATAAAAAAAAGGTGGAATGGTAGTAATAAAAATTTATTTGTAAAAGGAAAGGGAGGAAGAACAAGAAAAGGTAGGGTTTTTGGGAGTTATAAGGAAAAATGAAGTTGAATGATGTGGATAAAAAAAATGGTATTGAATAAGGAGGTTTGTAACTAAATACAAGCAAATCTTTTTTTTTTTTGACACTTGTGTGACAACACTGTAAACCCGAATTATTTATTATGGAATATTGATAAAATATATATATAAAAAAAAAAAAAAAAGATTTAAATTAACAAAGGAATTTTTTTTTTCAAATAAGAATTTATATTGGGATCACATATAAATATATAAGATACATATAAAAAAAAAAAAAAAAAATAAAAAATAAAAGGTTAAATGGTTTATAATCCAATGATACAACCATCCCTTTTTTAAACTAATCTATTTATAAAACACCAATTCAAAGTTAGTCATATATAATATCGTCATAGAATTTATTTTGGGATGTGGAACATCATCACATTCATCTCAAACAAGTAAATATATACTTTCATTAAACTAAAATCAATCACAATATATTATGAGAAATTGTTATAACCATACTTTAGTAAAATGAGGGAGTTGTTCAAGAAATCATATTATTTATGAGGGGCGCACACGAATCAAAGGGGAATAGCGTGATGCGGGCGCAAAGCTCCATTACCGTTTTCGCTTTTTCAAGATGGATTCATGGAAGTTACACACACAAAAAAAATTATATTAAATTAATTTCTACAATTGTAACCATTATTATGTACGTTTTGTTATTCGCAACAGGTAGTGACTGGTGAATTTTAAATTAACTTTGGTAGGGACTTTTTAACCGATTTCAAAGTTTTTGCTAAGACCAAACAAATCCTCGTTCGTGCGGACCATTTCTTTTGATATCGGAACACCAGATGCAATGGGCACGATGCAGAAGCAGGCGAGAAAATGAAATAGCGCAGGCACTTGCCCAAAGCTAAAATGTTTATGATGGTTTCTTATTATTAGAGGGGATGAATTTGGCAATCCTAATTTTCGTTGTTGTTTTATTCCAAACATGTGTTCATGATGCAAAACGACAGGTCAAAAAGGAGTGCGAGCTTTTTCTTTTTTTTTTTTTGCCTTTTTTTTTTTATTTTTTTTTTTTATTTTTTTTTTTGAACCTTTAATTTTTTCCCACAAAGTTTTTGAAACGAGACCGTACATGAACCACCTGAACTCATTACCATAAACTATCCCTGAATAAACACAAATTAATAAAAAACTAGATTGCAGCATCCCATCCCATCCACAATCCGTCTGACCGTTCGTTTCTCGACTTTTATTTCTTACTTTTTATCCAATCTCATCTATTTTTTGCTCATCGGTGAGACAGATTAGTATTTATCCGTTTAATGGAAAACTCAAAAATAAACATATATATATAATATCTAACGAGAAGAAAAATGTGAAAAGAAAAAAAAAAAAAACATAACTGTTATGTCGCGCGATACTTGTTCTATCAAAGTGTGGGGAAATCAATTCATCTATTGTTATTTTTTTTATTCACTGCTCTCTCTCTTTTTTTTTTTTTTATAAAATTCCATCAACCTCAATCATTACCTTACTTTTCGTACGCAAAACATAACTGCAACCAGTTGATCTAATAAGTTTCTTTTCAGTCTTAATAAAAAAAAAAAATTTTTTTTTTTTTCGTATCTTTACGGTATCTTTACACCATTTCACTGGGCTGTGTGAATATTTCCTAACATTATTTCTCACCATTAAGGAGCAAAAGAAAAAAAAACTAGTTCATTACGACTAGGACTAAGTTTTTTTTTGTGTTTAGGTGATTTGCATGATAAGATCTTGTTATCAATTATTTTTCTTTTTTTTTTTTTTTTTTTTTCAAATTCCTTCTGATCAAACAACCGTTTAAAAAAAAATTCAACTAGCTTTTTTTAGAAAAAGATAAAATGAAAGCACTTTTTTTTTTAAAAAAAAAAAAAAATAAAAAAAACAAACAAACCAGCGAAAGAACGTGAATTGAATAATGTGATTTTTTGTATTTTACGGAATTGCAACGGAAGTTGCCGCAGGTTCACAATTAGCAAAAACCTTTTTATTTTTCCAAAAGGTCATCTCATGAAAAAATCCATTGTCTCATCTTGTGAAAAAAAAAAAAATTAGGCTCAAAGGTTATATAAGCCATAAAAGTTTTCTTTCATTTACTCTTATTATTGAAAGATATTTATTTAATAGTATACAATTCGGATAGATGCATTCCTCATCCTTTTGCTTTGATGTTGCATAATTTTTTTTTTTTTTGTTAAAAAGAGAAAAAAGTACAATGGTCAGACAGATACATTAATTTCACCAAGAATGGAATATTTCACAAAAAAGCCCAAAAGAATGGGAAAAGAAGGAGGTATTATCATAATTTATTCATTGATTGTGATTAATTCAACCATTCGGAAAAATTCAGAAGCTGTGCCATCATGGCCTTCTTGTTGACATCATCATCATTGAAGAAATCATTGTTCGAGATAAACGAACGGGACATCCGTTCGGCGCCTCCTTACAAAGATAATTCGCGCGAGGTATTAGCTCCATTGTAATTTGGTGCATCCTCATGTGGTGCACCAAATTCTTTTTAATTGACGCCACTCGGGTACAACATACCATATCTTTCAGGGCAATCCGTTGCGCTAAAAGATTCCTCCCTTCAAATCTCATCAATGGATTGTTTCGGTCACATACTACTATGACGGCCGATTTCCAATTTTTTTTTTTTCTTTTTTTTGACTAATAAAAATTAAAAAAAAATAAAAAAAAATAAATTATTGATTTTATTACTTTTTAGTATTACCAGATTAAGCTATTACATATCGGCGGTTCCAAACCGTGTTCCAAATATTTGTATATTAACAAACCAGCACAGTTTTGTTTTTTCCTTGAACGCGAAATCTTCTTTACCCCACAAAAAAAAAAATAAAAATAAAAAATCTCAACCTTCTCATTCAAAAGGGCATAAAGGAGAAATCGACCTTATGAAAAATTCCCGCCAACATTTCCTTTTATGAAAGTTGAATCAAGGAAAAAAAAAAAAAAAACATGAAAGGTGGTCGTGTGCTCTTTGTTTTGACGATTGTCATCTCGTAAAATTTTTTTTTTTTCCCTTTCTTTCATCGGGGGAGAATGAAAGGAATAAAATTGGATTGTTCTTTCCTCCCCACAAATTTTAACTTTAAAAAAAAAAAAAAAACAATATTAACTATTAACAATATAAATAGTTTATTTAAAAAAGTACAATATGTCTTTGACAAATAATAAACAAATAATAAAGTAAACATAGTTTCTTGTTTGTATGACAGAATACAGTGAGAGCTTATCCATCACACACCTTTCACCCATAGCATACATGGATCGTCATCAATGAAAAAATGGGAGATAAAGAAAAATAAAAAAAATAAAAATAATGGTGTTATTAAAGGAGATGAGAAAGGAATATTTTTTTTTGATTTCAAAAGGAAGGTTATTTGTTTGGAAAAAAAAAAAAAAAAAAAAAAAAAAATACAAAAATTCCTTTTCCACTTCCATTGAATCGAAATTAAGAAAAAAGAATAAAAGAATTTTTTTATGCTTAAAATTCTCCTACATTACAACAAATAAATCTGTCATTCTGATTGGTACATGTCTATTCTTTCTTTCTCTTCTACAAAACTCATTTATTTTTTTTTTTTGGCGTTTTTTTTTTTTTTTAAAAAAATACCAAAATTGTACAATGTTGGAAATTTTCCAATATGGGAAAATAAATTTTTCATTCTAGCCCGCTTGGCAAAGAGTAAAGGTTGAAAGCCCATCCTTTTTTTTCTCTCTCCCCTTCTCTCTTCTTTATCTTTAAAATTTTCATTCTGAGGTCGATCCCTTTCATAAAATAAATTTTTTTTTTTTAGAAATCTGTTTTTTTTTTCCATTTTTTACGCCTCGTGTACATAAAAAAAGGGATTTAAATTGTGAGACCCTATTTTTAGTTTTGTCATAAACTTGTCATAATTTGCAATGTCATACAGCAAAAATTTATCCGACATAAATTAAAAAAGAAAAAGAAATAATGTCGATACACGTATCATCATCAAATGTTTGAGTGTCACGTTCTGTATCACCAAAATCACACATATCTCGAACAAAAAAAAACAGAAAACCCCAAATATTTACTAATTAGATGTTTAACCAACAACAACTGTTCTACCTAATTGGCCTTTCCCAAATACTTCCCATTTTAAGACGTGTGTGTTTG